AGTTTGGACACTCAGCGGAACAGGAACTTGATCTTACAAACGAAAGTGGCTTTGGAGTGTGAAGCTTTGGAAGGTACCAGGGGTGTAAAGTACAGGAAAAGATAAAGGAGTGGGTCTCAGTGATTACACTTAAACAACAGTAGTAGTAGAAAGAACAACATATAGGCCAAAGGAGAAAAAAACCCCACGCTTGATTCACAGGTCGCTCTCCAGGGTAGAATCCCCTGACCTCAATATTGGTTTGATCTCTTATGTCAAGATTTGGCCAAACTCCACTGATATGGGTTAAGACTAGCTCTGGGCCATCTGTGGTGGGATCCCCAAGCCTTCCAGAGATCGGCAACCATCTTGAGGATGTCCTGGGCTAAGCAGGGCAATTCTGGGTCCTCCTGCAAAGGGCCTGCCTCAAGGAGCAACCCCTTACTGGAAACAGGATAAGAGCCAGACCCAGGAGGTACATGAAATGCATGGGCTAGAGGGCCACTGAACTTACTCTCTTCTGTCTCCAGACCTTCCAAATAATTAAATGGAGAAATGATAATGAATTCAGCCTGCCGACACAATGGAGTGAGTTTCAAAAACCTCCAGGAACCTGTTTTGCCAAAGAAAGAACTTTACTACAAACTCTGACCAACAGATACAAAACATACAGATCATTTTCTTTTTTTTCAAATGTTCCATTGGAGTATGGCCACATTACAGAATCAGGACAGGGCCAGTTAAGAGGACACCTTTTTTTTTGAGATGGAGTCTCGCTCTTGTTGCCCAGGCTGGAGTGCAGTGGCACAATCTCAGCTCACTGCACCCTCTGGCTCCTGGGTTCAAGTGATTCTCCTGCCTCAGCCTCCCGAGTAGCTGGGATTACAGGTGTGTGCCACCATGCCTGGCTCATGCCCAGCTAACTTTTGTGCTTTTGGTAGAGATGGGATTTTGCCATGTTGCCCAGGCTGGTCTAGAACTCCTGACCTCAGGTGATCTACCCACCTCGGCCTCCCAAAGTGCTGTGATTACAGGGGTGAGCCACCACGACCGCCTGAGGAGACTTTTTTTTTTTTTTGGAGGAGATTAATCCTAGTTCTAATTCAGAAACTGTCAACAGCATTGTGCTTCTTCTATGACTACTAAAGTTCAAGGAAGGAGAGCTGAGTTGGGGGGAAAGTAGGGCTATCCCCTTCAGACAATGCCATTCCTTATCAGGGCAGACTGCTGTCTGGTTTCCTGTCTCCAGCTCCGGCATGACTGCTTAAGATGAGAAACAGGGTCTAAGAAAGGAACAGAGTGGTCTTGCAAACCGAGCGACCATCACAACCCAACTCACTCCCAGGAGGAATTCTGACTAGAATATCACATACTAGCAAACCAGACATCAACTGTTTTAAGGTTCTGCAGATTTATTTTTTTAAAAAGCTAGAACCAATGATAAATGAAGCACTTTAGAAAGAGTCCACGTTCCAGAATAATTTGATTCTCAGTACCTTAAAAAATGAGGTTCCCTATATTTATTTTTCTTTAACACAACTGGGTGTGAAAACAGAGAACAAGAAATACTACAAAAGAAAGCTGTCATTTTATAGCAAAAATGTTGATGTGAAAATATTAAGAAGGCAAGTTCTCAAGGGGAGATGGAGACACATGGAATTAAGCATCAGGGTTTATATATATGGTCAAATAAAACTCTTATTCCCATTTTTTTGTAATTATACCCACTATAAGATAGTATAATTTTCCTCAACTCTTCAGCTTCGCATTTAAAAGCTTGCAAAACATTTTTCTGATAGACTATATTAGACCCTGATCACCTCTATCAACCACTTCATCTCCCTGCACAAAAGGGAGAGGAGAGTTTTCCAAAAGCCAAATATAGACTGTTTACCAAACCTAGTTAGACTGTTAACAACTTTGGAATCAAAACAAACAAACAAAAAACCTGCTTCCATATGACTTACTTTTGAATTTTAAGCTTAAAAGCCTCTTGTCCTGCAGGTCAGCTTAGTATTTCAAGATGCTTTTCCCGAAGGAGAAAGAACTTGGTGGGACTTCCAAAACTCCCGGCCTTTTCCACAGAAGGTTATCCGTAGCCAAGTAACTGATCCAAGTAACCCTCTTAATACCATATTTTATACTTTCCATTTGCACATAAAGAATGTGGTGGAATGTGACATTTAAAACCAAAGCACCATTATCAATTTTGGGGAGCAGAGGGCCTGATCTGCTGCTTCAGCAACTCTTTGAATTAATTCCATGGTGACGTTGTAGATTATTCCTTTCCATTAAAAAAGAAAATCCCCAAATAAGTTTATAAAAGAACTTTCCAAAACTTTTCTTTTTCAACCAAATATTTCCTTAAATCTTAGTTTCTCAGGAACCAAAAGAAAAATGATATTAAGATAGGTCTTAAATAGTTAACTCAGAAATTCATTAACCCCCAACAGAATATTTAAAAAATAATGAAAAATGTTATTGCAAAAAGAAAATGAGAAGAGCATTCTTCTTCTGTTTTCAAAATAGCAGGTTAAAATTTTCCAAACGATCTATCATTGAATGAATTTGTTATTGCCAGTTCTCCTTTTCTTTGAGCTTAATTCTTAAGAACGGGTTGAAAATGAGATGTAGAATATTGTACAGTGAAATTTTTGTCCTTAAAACATTATCCTGATATTTAAATCTTTGTCCTTAAAAAGAAATAATCCTGGGATTTTCTCAATGTCTTATGCTTTGCTTCAATGATTTTTCCAAAGATTTCTTCTTCCAAACACAAGCAGGACTTTGAACTAAGCCCAGGCTGGCAACACTGCTTAAATCCTCCATCCACCGAAGCCACCTGGAGCATCCTGGGTTAAATGGGAACAAGGGTGGGCCACATCTTTCAGATAATGCTAGGTCTTCTAAACTGCAAGGTGTTAATTCCTGATCCAAAATTGACAGCTTCAGGGCAAAATGCCTATCTTAGAACAAACACCCTAACCACCTCAACACAAGAATCACAAACAAAAACAAAACTCCTTTAGGTTTCTTTGCCAAGACGGATGGAAATTTCCCCCAAATCACAATGTGCCAACGAAAAATTTAAGAAGGTAAAACCATTTATTCACCCAGACAAATGCAGTGGAGCAAAGGGTGGACGTAGAAAGCTTAACTGACTTCTCATTATGACATAACACAGTCATCTTAAGCAATATCAAGTGTGTAGAGACATGATAACTCCATGGGTGGGGATACGGAGTTTAGGGGCAGGGACCTCAGCCTGCTCTGGGCTACTGATCTACCAGAAAACAGCCTGAAACAGGAAAGAGCACACATATGCCACTTGGAATGTATGACGCAAACCCCAGCCTTGAAACAAAGAACAGGAAACAGCTCTGCTGGCTGTGCTGGAGAGAAAGCACAGAGAAACATTTAGCCGGCCCTCCCTGACCCTATATTCATGAGCAGCTGGAGTTTTTTAAGACAACAACAGTGGGGTGGAGGTGTTTGTTCTATGGGTGTGAATAATAACACCAGCTTTATACAGGGGACTTGCCCTATTTACAAATAAGAGCTGCCACATACAGTAAACATCATAAGTGAAATGTGATTTTATCATATTCAAGCAGCAGAGACCTCCCTAATGAAAACTAGCCTCCCTTCTGATTTCTTTTGTCTCTTTCTGCCCCATCCCAATGGCTAGTCCCTAGCTCTGGTCAAATTCCAGGTTAGGGTAATGATTATGGTTCAGCCTCAGTGCATCATGAGGAAAATGAAGATAGAGCACTGTGTTAGGAATTCAGATTACAATTTAGGTACCCCACAGAACTAAAACTGGAGCAATGGTAAGCCTCCTTTAGTCACAGAATTCCAAGACAGGCTGTGGGACATCTAGAGCAACCCAAAATTTTCACTGTCTTTTTCAAATGCAGTTATACACATTTTTGCAGAGCTGCTCATCTGTTCAGCATATACACACATTTACAGAAATTTTCCTTTTAAGAATGTGCTTCTGTTTCTAACATTTAATCTAAAAATTATCACATAATCTGTACGCCAGAGTACTAATTTCTACAAGACATTCTAAAATGTCTATTTTCCCTTTGGGTTATTTTTAAGATAGTAAAATCCATTCACAGTTCCTTTTCCATTATTTCTCTTTACTTCGTTAGCCAGGACTGTTTAACTCAAGCTTACATTATCAGAGATTTAAGAATCTGGTGTGTACAGATGTAAGTACAGGTAAGGAAAAAAGGAAAAAAAGAAGCATCACTGTGCCCATAGCAACAAAATTGGGTTTTAATTTAGAAACTTTGCAGTGAATAAAAGAATAGCTTTCTGCAAAGCCCTGTTGTTTTGTATCTGACACGGTTTTGTGGTCTAAGCAGCTACTTTGCTTTGTTATTTTCATGTTGAGACTTTCATACTTGCATTCTCTTTCATGCAAGCTCAATGTTCTTTACAATGTATCATCATTCAACTTACGGATAGATGGTACATTAGGTTTTTTCCTTCTAATAAATAGTTCGCAGCAAAGCCCACTGACTGCAGAAATGAAGAAATCAGTTTCTCTAGGGAGTTTAATTTAATCAAACATCTAATTTCAGGTTTCTATTAACAGCCTAAAGTCAACTAACCTCTTTTCAAACCAGAAGAAATCATTCGCGGACACTTTATTTAAACACTATTACAAACTCAAAAAAAAATTGGAGATATTAATGCTAACAGACTGTTTTTCCCCCTAAAAGCAAGTCTTTCCTAGGGTAAGGCAGATCATCCAGATGAATTTCTCTTGTACGAATGCTCCTCAAATTCATACAGAATAGGGTAGCACAAAACTGCTGTGTAGAAAAACCTATAATGAACAACTGGCCTATTCCCCACTTGATTTTGCTGGCATATTTCACATACTTGTCAGGATACCACTTCATACTTTTTCCCCATAAACCAGACTCTTATGAGAAAATAATCAATATATTTAAAGTGTCTTGAGTTATATTAATGGAAACGTAAATTCTGAGTAAGAAATTCAGTGGTTCAGTGTAAAATGTTTATTTTAGTGAAATACAAGAAGGTGAGCAATTTCCAATTTCCGTTTAACTTGACTTATTAAGTCCCATTCACATTCTTCTAGTATTATTGTATACTGCTATAAAATTTAAACCAGAAAAGTGTTTCTCCTTGTTAGTAGTAATCTGCCCAAAAAATGAATATGACAATTCCAAGTCTTATCTGCCATCTGCCACTTGGAAATGTTAGGTAGGTCCCATGGGTCCTGGTCCAGGGATCTGTCCCTGGGTCCCCACCAGGCTCGGCTGCAGGCAGTTGCCTAAGGCGTCCTCCGCCTTCAGCCAGGCTGCAATCCTTGCTCCAGGCACTGCGGCAGGTTCTCTCCATGCCCCCAGGAGGACTCTCCAAACCCGGCCGGCTCATTTCTCCTGCCCCGGAGGATCCAGACGCCCTGGCAGCTCCTGGGCTCCAGGACGGAGAATGGGATGCTGCCTCCAGTCCTAATTGCCCCGAGTTCCTTTCCAGAGGGCCCGGGAGGCTGCTCCAAGTTTGCTCTGCCCGGCAAGTGACCGAGCGCTGGGTCCCGGGAGGGGGGCGGCGGGGGGCGCGGACGGAGGGCGGGGAGGGGAAGGACGCGGGAGCCGGGGTTGGGGGGGCACCGGGAGGGGGAGGAGCAGGAGCGCGAGGCCTCGGCGCTACCTTTCTCCAAACAACGTTGCCACACGCGGAGAGCACGGAGATTTCTGGGGCTTTGGAGGGAATCGTGAGCGGGCGGGCGGAGGCCGGGGACCACACAGGTGAGCCCCCGCCCGCGCCCTGTCCCGGACCGCGGCGGGCGCTGCCGGTCCCACTCCTCCGCACCCATGGTCCACACGGTGCTTCGCCTCAACCCCTCACTTTCCACCGCGAACCTGTGGTCCCCTCCCCCGTGCTCGCCCTCCGCCCCCACCCCGGCTGCGAGGGGCTGCCGCACTTTCCCAAGCCCGCAGGCGCACCACCCGCCCGCAGCGCTGCACCCCCAACTCATTCCCTGCGGCCCCCTCCGGGGGAAAAAATGAAACCAGAGCGGCGGAGGAGGCGGGCGGCAGGGGCCGGGGCGCGGAGCAGAGGTGAGGGAGAGAGGACTTACTTTGCGAGGCGCGGTGCGGGGCACCGCCGACGAGAAATAAAGGCCCGAATCCGGGCTGCCTGGAGCCCCTCGAGCGCAGTAATGTCAGGGCTCCAGTCCGGGCGGCGTTAGCGTTGGCGGCCGCAGGGGACGGGGACGGGCGCGCGTGCGACGGGAGCTCTCGTTGCGCTCCGGCTCGGGCCCCGGCTCCGCGCGGCTCCGCTCCTGGCTCCCCTCTGGCTCCTGGCACCAACTCCGGGCAGTCACATGACGCCGGCGCCGCTCGCTCTGCGAGCCTCCCGGGGCTGGCGGGGTAAGTAGAGGCTGGGACCCGGGGTGGGAGGGTCAGGGAGGGGAGAGGGAGCCGCCGCGGCCGCCCGGGCTGGGCGGGTCCCCACCCACTTGGGTGGAGGCAGCCGCCGGAGGGGTCGGCCGAGTCACTCGCGCAAACACGCACCCCGCCCTGCGCCCTTCCCCCGCCACCCCCGCCTCCCGCGCCGCCTCCGCCCCGCCCCGCCCAGTCACCCGGGGACGGCCTGACAGACACTCATTATTCCCCGGAGCCGGGCGCCGCCCCGCCGGCCCAACCTGTCCCGCGAGGCGCGGCGCGGCCGTGGGGCAGGGCGTGCGCGGCGCGGCCTCCGCCCCCCCTCCAGCCCGCCCGGCCCCGCGTCCCCGCCCGCGTCCCCTCCCTGCGCCCTCCGCCCCGGAGCCCGCGCCCCGCCCGCTCGGCCCCGCCGCCGCGCCGCCGCCCGAGCCCGGGGGGAAGGAAGGGCGGCGCTGCCCGCTCCGGGCGTCACACGGCCGCGGCCCGCTGCGCAGCTTCCAAAACACACAGCAGAGCTCCCGGGCGAGCCGGGGCGGGGGACGCGGGCGGCCAGGGCCATCAATCAGCCGGCTCCGGCGAGAAGGGCGGTCCCGGGCGCGGCGGGAAGGGCTGGGCCCCACGGCCGGCGCAGCCCCTCCTCGGCCGAGCGCATTCAGCTCCCTGCAGGAGAAAAGCGGAGCCGAGGCGGTCGCGTTGCAGGAGCGGGTGGGCCGGGCGGGTTTGGGAAGGGAAGAGCGGCCGCTGGGGCGGGCCGAGCCTCCCTGGGCCGGAGTCAGCGGGGTCAGGGGACACCCTGTGGGCGCGCTGTTTCTTTGTGCCCCGGGGCGCCAGGTCCCTGTGGCCGACGGCCCAGGCGGCGCCCCCTCGCCTCATGGGACTTTTCTTTAAAGGCCAGGAGACCCCCGGGGCAAAGCTTCCTCGGGCCAGGCTTGTCGCTGGAGCGAAAAGCAGCATTTGCGCAGCCGGGCTTGCGTGGAAACTTGGCAAACTTTGGTCGGATCCTTCCCTGCAGAGCGAGGGCCCGGCCCAGCAATTCCTCATTTCAGGTCGCTTCCTAGGGATGGAGCACCCCAAGCTCAGTGGCTTTCTGGGCGCTGCGAGTGGGCGGCACAGTAGGGCGTTTCGTCCAAGCCAGGGCCCTTCGAGGACTTTGTGTAGATTCGTACTGAAGTTTAATGCCTTTTGAGTTTCTTTTTAAACAGTATTAATGTAATCACGAATGCAATAAAAAGAACAAAGGGCAAATTGGTTCAATTGTTTCAGTCCTGTGTAATGTTTAAAACCGCCGCTGCTTCAGTGTATGACTTGTTATTGCTTCAAGATGTTTTAAAAGCCCTTTAAGTTCACCCTTCTCACTTTGATGCTTCATCCAGACATGGTACTGCTTAAAACGGAGTGGTATAGTATATTTTGAGCCACTTCATGTAGCTACACAGTATTGTAAAATTAGTACCCGATGACCTCAAGTAGTGAAATCGCATATTGTAAATAACGCGAGTCTGGGAAAGGCCACGTGGAGGATACCCAGAACTGACACCACTCCTGGGCCCGTAGTGCTGTCCCGTGAGCTTCATCTTTAAAATATAAAGGGTGTGGTTTTTTTTTCATTATGAATAAAAGACCTTCAACAAAAAAAAGTTGGATTCGTGTCAATTACTAATTGCAATTTATTGATCACTGACATCATTAAATGTCTGATTGGCTGCCTTAAGGTTTGCATTAGCGGAACACAGTGTTAGGAATGGCTGGTGGAACTGACTCCTAGTAGGTTCTCAAAAAAGTATGGATTTTTCTCTAGGAACACAGTGATGAAAATTAGAAGCACATAAACCATGTTTTTTACATTGTTCATGTGGTTGTGGACGCAAAGGGGAAGAGCGAAATAGGCCTGTCGGAGAAAAGGGTGACCCAAGATAAGGGAGTGGTTTTGCTATGAAAGGGGCCGGCAGCAAAGGAGAAAGAAAAACCATTTTAAAAAGTTAATTAGTAAACACAGCGTGTTCAGTGCTCTGTGGGAAGCTGCTCAAACGCAACTTGTACAAAAATGATACCATCCAGTGCTGGGTAGCTCAGTGAAGGACACCATCATTCTTCAAAATGCCCAACAGGGTGGGGCGCGGTCGCTCACACCTGTAATCCCAGCACTTTGGGAGGCCGAGTTGGGTAGATCGCTTGAGGCCAGAAATTTGAGACCAACCTGGCCAACTTGGCGAAACCCCATCTCTACGGGAATTACGAAAATTAGCCAGGCATGGCAGCGCACGCCTGTGATTGCAGCTAGGAGGGAGGCTGAGGCAGGGGAATTGCTTGAACCCAGGAGGTGGAGGTTGTAGTGAGCTGAGATCATGTCACTGAACTCCAGCCTGGGCAAGAGTGAGACTCTGTCTCAAAAAAAAATAAGCCCAGCAGAAGTACCTGAAATTATCCTTAAGTCCTCCTTCTCGAGGCATAGTGCGTCGTTCACTGAGTCCTGGACCTCTTTGGTTACTACCCACTCTCCGGACCCTACACTGGTCCAGCCTGTTGCCACCGCATCTCGTTGGTTATCCTGATGGCAGTATGGCTAAAGCGTGGGAAAGGCATTAGAGTATGGGAGTAAGAGTGCCCTTTCCAAAATGCAAGCCTAATCATGTCAGTCCGTCAGTGGTTTCCCTTGGGATGAAGTCCTAAGCTTTCCACCCCTATTGACCTGGCCTCTGACTGTCATTACAGACACTTCTCCCTCTTCTCTCTTCCTACTCTTTTCCATCAATGCTGAACTTCTTTCTGCTCCTTTCTTCCAACTCTCTCTTCCCACCTCTGGCCCTTTGCACATGCTCATTTTTCTAGGTAAAAAAGCCTTGCCTTCTCCCTGAACTCTTGACCTCTACTCCCATTTCCCTAAATTCTATTCACCCTTGACTTAAATGACATTTTCTCCAAATATGTATTCTCTCACCACACCTTTGGATAAGTTGAAGTGCTCTGGTAACATCTGGTGGGGGCTGCTGTTTGGGTCATCGGAGTGGGTTCTCCGATTTCCCCTTATGTAACACTTTTCATTTTTGTAATTGGCTATTGAATGATCTCTCTGTAGCACTAGACTGGAAACTATGAGGGCAGGCACCTTGTCTTTTCAGCAAAATTGTATTCCCAGGGCCCAAATGTCTAATGAGTATTTGTCAAAGGAAGAAATGTGGTTTATGAGTTGAGAGGAAGGAGGAGTCATTCTGAGCTGAAGAGATGAGCAGAGGCTACAGGGAGGCAAGTGGCTGTGAACTCTATCTCCATCAGTCCAGGGACTTTTAAATGGTGAAGAGGAGGGAAAAGGGTGTTACCCCCACTGAGTGCTCTTTTTTTTTTTTGAGATGGAGTCTTGCTCTGTCACCCAGACTAGAGTGTAGTGGCATGATCTTGGCTCACTGCAACCTCTGCCTCCCAGGTTCAAGTGATTCTCCTGCCTCAGCTTCCTGAGTGCTGGGATTACAGGCACCTGCCACCATGTCTGGCTAATTTTTGTATTTTTAGTAGAGACAGCGTTTTGCCATCTTGGTGAGGCTAGTCTCAAACTCCTGACCTCGTGATTCACCTGCCTCAGCCTCCCAAAGTGCTGGGATTACCAGCGTGAACCACTGCACCTGACCTCCGCACTGAGTGCTTTTAAGCAGCAGAGTGAGTTAGTGAAAGTGGTGCCTAGGTCTTTTTAAAATTCCTAACTCTAGCACAGTACCTGGAACATGGTCAGGTGTTCAGTAAATCCTGCATGACAATCTCAAGTGTGATCTTTGTAGTGGCTGCTTTGCCCTTTTTCCTTGCTAATGGCAGGCCAGTCTGGTTGAGGTGCGCAAAGCCTGTGCTCAGTGAAGGATACCCCTGCCTCGTCCCAGCAGAAGAGCCCTGGTTACTCCCAGCCAATCCCAGTCTCTTTTGCCAGTGACTGGTTGGAGGGTAGGTGTGCAACCTAGTTCTAGCAAGTGGGACATGAAGGGAAGTGTGCTGAGGGTTTGTGGGAAATCTTTTTCTTCCTGATACAGAGAAATCCCCAGACCTGCTTTGGAAGTTGTTATGTGAAGATGTGATGCTTGAAGCTGTGGCAGCCATCTTGTATTCTTGAAAGAAAGCCAAAGTTTTGATTTCCATGTGGATAGTTCTTTTTTTAAACCATTTAGTTTTCAGCTCAAATTTTACCTCCTCAGTAATGACTTCTTTGACCACACAGTTTAAAACATACTCCCCTTCCTCTTTGCTGTGGTTCCGATATTTGTCCTCTCCAAATCTCATGTTGAAATATGATCCTTATTGTTGGAGGTGGGGCCTGATGGGAGGTGTTCAGGTCATGGGAGTGTGTCCTTCATGGACAGATAAATACTCTCCCTGAGAATGGGGGATAAATGAGTATTTCCTTTGTTAGTTTCCAAGAAAACTGATTGTTAAAAAGAGCCTGGGTCCAGCGCAGGGACTCAGAGCTGTAATCCCAGCACTTTGGGAGGCCGAGGTGGGCAGATCACCTGAGGTCAGGAGTTCAAGACCAACCTGGCCAACATGATGAAACCCCCATCTAATTAGCCAGGTGTGGTGGTACGCTCCTGTAATCCCAGCTACTTGTGATTACAGGTGTATCGCTTGAACCTGGGAGGTGGAGGTTGCAGTGAGCTAAGACCATGCCATTGCACTCCAGCCTGCACAACAAGAACAAAACTCCATTTCAAAAAATATAATAATAATAACTAGCCTCCCTCCTGGCTCTCTTGTTTCCTCTCTTGCCCTGTGATCTCTGCACATGCTGGCTCCCCTTAACCTTCCACTATGCGTGGAAGGAGCCCGATGCCCAGTCTTCCAACTAGCAGAACTGTGAGCCAAATAAATGTTTTTTCTTTGTAAGTTACCCAGCCTCAGGTGTTTCCTTTACAGCAACATGAAATGGGCTAAGATGCCCATTCATTGTCTAGTCTTTGTTCCGTTTTACTTTCTTTTTTTTTTTTTGCATATAATTAACTAAAATTACTCTTTTCTTTTTTGTTTATTTGCTACCTTTTTTTCTTATTAGAATATGAGCTCTGTGAAAGCAGGGACATTGTTTTAATTCACTTTTTCCTTAAGTTTCTAGACAGTGTCTGACAAATAGAAGTAGATGTCCATAAGAATTTGTTGATTAACATATAACAACTAAGCTACCCCAGGACAATAACACCATGTTGAAATGGATTCAGGGGCTAGTGGACACAGGCACTGCAATCCTTCACTTTCTCTTTTGTGACTTATATCACAGTTCGTTCCATCTCAGGCAGTCTCTTCTTGCTACGCAAATACATTTTCTTGAGATTCCTTCTTTCTTCTCCACTCTACTTTAAAACTTTTCTATTCCTTCCCAGGGAATTTCTCCTCCTCATTTGATGACAGAAAAAGCTACCAAGGCAGAAAAGTGTCATGCACTTATGAATTTATGAGCAGCACAGATACATTTACCTTAAAGGAAAACAAAGCTGTACGTTTTGAAGTAAAATCAGAAATGCTAGGCTAAGGACTATCCTTCTCTAAAGCATTACAAAAGGTCTGTAGATTCTCTGCATCATCTCTACAAGTTTCCACTCATATTATCTATCCATCCATCCAGTTTAGTATTGCCAGGAAAGACTGACATGGAGTTAGGTGACCATGAGTTCTGGTAAAGCTCAGACTGGATGTATGATCCACCCCCACCTCCAGAAGCTCTTAGCATTTCTACGGCAGGTGGACAGTTGGTCTTGGATTGTGTTTGGCAAGCCAGTGCAATCCAAGGACTGTGGCATGGTGGAAATGTTGGTTCTTGCAATCGAAGTCAGAGAAGTAAAACAGAAGAAGGCTGTAGAGAAGTTGGGGTCCTGTGGCTTACGCCTGAAATCCCAGCACTTTGGGAGGCCAAAGCAGACAGACCACAAGGTTAGGAATTCAAGACCAGCCTGACCAACATGGTGAAACCCTGTCTCTACTAAAAATACAAAAATTAGCCGGGCGTGGTGGTGCATTCCTGTAATCCCACCTACTCAGGAGACTGAGGCAGGAGAACTGCTTGAACCTGGGAGGTGAAGGTTGCGGTGAGCCAAGATCATGTTACTATACTCCAGCCTGGGCAACAGAACAAGACTCCATCTCAGAAAAAAAGAAAAGAAGAAGAAGAAGAAGAAGGCTGGCTGTAGAGAAATAGCCAAGGGATTGGTGAACTGGACATTCCAAATAGGTTGGAGAGTGGATGTTTTGGGAATAATGGAGTGAATGTCCTGGAAGGTGAGGAGGTG